TTCAATTTTTCGAAGAATTATGCCATATTAATTTAACACTTAGGATTTATGTACCCTGTTTTGCTCAATAAATTAATTTCTGTTGTTATATTTTAAAATAACATAATCTTACCTGAGCACTTTGGTAACTTTAATGCAAATTAAGAAATTTAACATGGGCCTGTAGATTTATTTGTTCCACATTATATGAAAAAGATACTGTGCTAGATATAAAGAAGGTTTGACATTATCAAATGAATTTTAGCAGAAAATTTATCAAAATTTAGCACAAGAAGTGTTTTTATATATCACATAGCTCATCTACCCATTTGATAAGTGAATTTGGTGTTTTTTCATGAAAGCTATTGTTTTATAACTGGTATTGTGGAAAGGGTGAACAAGATCAAGATTGGATTATTACTCCTGCCCTTAAAGCTACATAACCCTGAGGACTTGACTTTTCCATGCCCGTGTTCCTCTTTTCTCAAATGGAGCTATTAGTATTATTAGAGTGCTTGAGAGGATTGGGGCAGCCCATTTTGCTTCCTGAAACTATATTAGAAAGTTGAAAATTTCTTTTTTTTTTTTTTCTTAAAAGTAAATTTTGCAAGGAGCTCAATTTTTGGTATTTCTACAGCAACATAACTCAATAATATATTTTTTTAAATCCCCAAGGATAACTGCTAAATAACTACAGTATAACAGAAAAGGTCATCTGAGAGTCCTCTAGCCAAAATCAGTCATGAGCTAAGTCCCATGGTTCTCAGCAACAGGTCTGTGTTAGTGTCTCTGCTGTACTGAAGTGTGGTCTATGCGCTGCTATTGTGATAAGTGTGGAATCCAGAAATGGATTTCAGAACTCAGGAGCTTGGGTTCAAGGTCAGTTATACTCCCATTAGTGGAGTTTCTTGAAGACCATTCTTAAGAGAACCACATAGCATTTGTCATCATTAACTGTGTAGAGAAATAATATTGCTAAAAGTCTCCGGCATACAATTTGTTTCAGAGAATGGAAGCTGACTATAAATTTGGCTGTGAGGCAGATGGCAGCTGGTAGAGGGTCTTATTTGTTTTGCTTTATTTACTTATCCTTCTGCAGACCCCCTCAAAGCCACCTCCACCTCTAGAACAATAATATGATAAATATTTCACCAAGATAAGCTCATTAAGATATTCTTTTGTAATGTGTTTTGCTTTGTAGCTCTTCATGGTTAATTTTCAATACAACACTAAACAAGTTGTATTTGTCTTCAATACCAGTAGACTTTCTTTCATCTATGACTTCTTCAACTAGGAGAAAAGCAGGCCATATACATCCCCCTTACAAAGATGTGTGAACAAGATTAGTTCATTCAATATTTTTGCTAAAGTTTCAAGGTCAAAATTTTTTGCACTAATGTTTTCTCACTTCATTTTCACTCTAATAAGGTGTAAGTAATTTTCTTAGGTTCCAGCTGTCTAATTGTATTGTGCTTATTTAGAGGTTTTAGATTATACTACTTATTAAGGACTATAATAGGATTTATTGAAATTTGCATAACTGGCTGTATCATGTGGCTGTGAGAGTTGTTCAGTAGTTGTATCAAACAAGGATTTTAGAATCTGCCTCCTGACTTTCAAAGATCACCTTTGGTGTTGGATAAACTTAAAACAATGGACTTGTTTTTAGATGTCTTAGAGTAGGACATGCTGTATCATACCTGTCATTTAACAACAAAAGGACTTTTAGTCTTTGGCCTTGAATAATGCCCTCACATTCTTCAATCACGGGTTAGTCAGCTTCTCATCAGCTGATGTGATTTTACATTTTTGCCTGTATCATTAATTACCCACTTAAGTTCTCCTTTTGTACTGTTTGCCAGTTGTCTCCAAAACAAACATGTTTTCTGGGCTGGTGTGAAAAGGAAAGAAGGCAATTCAGAAGAAGATAATAGATGGGTTCTCAGTTTTATTTTTGGCCTTATTACTAATGCTAACTACTATCATAGAACATGAAATTATGATTGAGATATTAATGAATATTTTATTCAAGGAATTTTTTTCATAAGCCCTAATGAGCAATGAGAATTCACAAATGTGTTTGGAAGATGCTGCTAAATTAAAAGGAGGCACTCTCCTAAGAGAGTAGATTATCTTTTATTTCTCCTGAAAATTTGAATGCAAATTTACATAATATTAAATATCCTTGTTAGCTTTGCTCTGGTTTCCAAATAAGTTCCTTATTTTAAGAGTTTTGTCTATTTTGTTAAATATATCAATAAAATTACCTCTTTCAGCTCTCTTTCTTTTCATTATTATCATTGTGTAAATAGTAACCAACCGACCACGTGTAAACAATGAATGATATATTTTCCTGATTACATCACATGGTCTTACCCTCTTTAATAAACACCTTTATAAAAAATATATGCTATTTATATCTTTATAAAAATTTATTCTGCTAATGAGTCAGAAAAGATCAGGAACCTTAGCTAAGGCATTTTGGTTGTAACTAAATTACTTAAGTCAATTAATTGTAAAACACACTTGATATACAATCTTGTGATGCTGGTGGAGTGGTTCAAATGGTAGAATGCCTGCCTAAAATCTTGTGATACCACAGAGAATTAGGACAGCAATATGGAAATAGCTGCTGGTCCTTTTGGAAAGTGTGGTCATTTAAACCACCTAATAATGGCCTCTAAAATTATAGAATTAAAACTATAATTTTCTTACTTAATGAGTAGATAAGAGATTATTCACTAATGGACTTCTAGAAGCCTAGAGATTCTTTGTAGTTTTTTCTTCTTTTTTAATTGTGTTGATTATCAGTATAAAGGAACAAAGAATTTCTCTTAGTTTATGCACTTTTACACAAGTGTATGGTATACCCTATGGGTTTTATATTAATAGAATTATAAAACAAAGTTGTTTTATAAATAATTAAAAGCCTTGTTAAACTAACCTGTGACTTAGACATGAGTATTTTGGAAGGTCATATATAATAATATTTGTGGAAGGTGAAAGTTACTTTCAAGGACATGGCAAAACAAATAGAAAACATTTTGTTTAAACTACCTCTCTTTTTAAAAATCTGTATTTCCTAGACCTATGATCACATAACTGCCAAATTACTCTTTATTTTTTTTAATGTATCAATTTATGAACATATATCTTTTAAGGACTGTCTGTTTCTTTTGTAAAAACTACAAATAGAAGCACACCTTAAAGCAAATAAGAAACCTTTTACTGCCCAATTTTTACATAGCAAAAGACTATAAATTTATTGATATTCTGATGTTATATAGGAAAATTAAGGAATTTCTATGTTTATGTCATGAAAATAAGCTAGTACTTGAGGGGAAAGAAAATAGAGAAAAAATTCCTTATCTCATATTTGGCATTATTATCTTTTTCCCCAAATGTTAGTAATATTATTTTTTCTCACATGAGAATCAAAATATGGGAGACATTGCTTTTAAGGTATGGGGTAAAAAGTAGTTATGCAGACAAAAGTAGATCATGGCAAGTAACGTCAATGTCATCACATCTATAAAATAATTTTAAAATTACATATTTCCATGTTTGTCACTGAAGCAAGAAAGTTAATTACACCAAGATGTTATGCTCATAAATATGTTTTGTTTAGTATATAAGTTTTAACCATTGTGTATGATCATACCAGTAATTTTGTGAAATATATCCTGATATCAATTATATAAATTTTACTCATTTTACACAGTAATATACATAATTTTGTGCAACGTATTATAATAGTGATTCTGAATGGAAGGGAATTTAATAATTGCTACAAAGCGGTTCTTTGCATGTAGAATTGATGAGTTTTTGTATAAATTTTACTAAATTGAGACAACTATATGTAAATAGTTTGCTAAGTAGAGTCTTGGAACTTACACAGTCACTAGATTGTCTATCTGAAATTCCTTTCTTGACTGTAAGGTCAAAATTCTCTGGTCAAATCAGTTAACCTTATGAGTGCTTTCTAAATAACTTCATATTACTTTTGTTCTCTTCTTTTTGTCCTTGCTTACGTGAGATATATTTACATAATATTTGCAGTATATTATGCTACCATAAAAAAATCTGATTCTTCTTCATCATATCTGAAAGCTGATTGTATTGATTTAGTAATAAGAAATTATTAAACCTTTTATTTTTCAAGTAGAGAATCAGCAGGGATCTAATATTCATTCATTTTTAAACTAGTATTTTTCATTATCACAAATAGCTACTACATTAATGATGATATTATTATGTTGCCAAATACTATACTAGGTGTTTAAAAATTTCAACTGACTTAATAGTTACAATTTGAGGATAAGATACTATAGTGTCTTTCTTTCTTTCTTTTTTGTTAACCAGATAAGGTAACAGGACAGAGAAGTCAAAAGTTTGTTTCAAGTTCCGTAGCATCAAAGAAAATATAAGAACTGATGATCAAATTTAATTATCTTTTTACAAAGTTTCTGAAATATTTTTAGATTTTAGATATCTTACTGAATGTTGCTTCAATGTTTTAATTAAAAAATTAAATATAAACAGGATTTTAATGCATTTATGTAAAAAAATGTCAAGTTATTTCCTTATAAACACACACATACATACACACTCTTATACACAGACTCCTACTGATAATGGAGGGAAATGTCTCTTAGAAGTTAAAAGCAAGTTACTGTTTTTAAATTCCAAGTGTTGTGGACTGAAATGAACGTTTTTGATGTTTTTTTCAGGCAGCTCTTTGCATTTTGGGAGATTTGGCTTGAGACAGATCTATAAAGACAGGCACAAAGGCAGGTACTATATTTAGAACATAGGGGTCATTGATGATGTGACCTAATTTAACTAAATTATCTGCCCATATCTAAAGGGGCCTTTGAATAAAATTTGTAAATAGCAATTCCAGCCACTACAATAGAAAGCCACATGTTAGGAAGTTTTTAGATATGGAAGAGGATGGCTTTTAAATTGTTTAACATGCATGTAAATGTTTACATGGTTATTCTATTCTTTGATATTTTTAGGAGTCAATCTTATGATGTGATGCTTTCCTATAAAGCCTTAGAGAAGAGGATCTGGGAACCAAGACTCTGGGACCTTTTGTGCTAATAGAGCTTTGTGAGTATCCCTAGTGTATAGTGGTACATTCTTTTCACTGGTTCTTCCAAGTTGTGCAGTTTGTGGAATTGGTTGCTCCTAATATGAATGCATTTTTATTTGCCTCTTAGATTTCATTTTTCCTCATACTAACATTATGACTTTTGAACTAGCTCGTAATGTTTTATGGCTTCTATTGGACACATGGTTCGCTGTCTTGTTTCTGCCTCTTCCTTGTTAAAGGAAGAGACTGTATACCTCAGAGTGTCGGTGTTCAAATCTTGACTCTGATGCTTACTGGCTAAAATCTGTCCAAATATCAGTTTATTCATCTTTGAATTAGGACAGTAAATTGAGACTGGGTTTTCATTATAATACAGTTACAACAATTTTCATATTTTTGTGAGAATTGTATTAATTATGTTCAATATTGCAAACAGAATTGGTGCATCCTAGAGGCTAAGTAAACTTAGATATTATTATTATTATTGTTAGCTATATTCTTTAAATACTGTTATGTAGATTCATTCGCTTTTTTTAGCTACAGACAGGAGAGTATCCAAGACTTTCGAGTGAATGCCTGTAGGGTTTACACATTTTAAGGTTACTGAGTCCTGTAACTTGCATAATTTGTTATGACACTTAATTTTTGAGAATCTCATACTTTTAAATAACTCTTCCTTGTCTATTGGCATTGTCAAAAATATGCAAATAAATTAAAAACTGGATATTATATAATAAATCACTTCACAGAATCCAATTTTCTTTCTACTTTAGTGGTCTTATATTGTGAGACTTTAGGTTTCTTTTGATGTCACTGTTTAAGCATGTAAAATATCGTGTCACTAGGAAAAGTATGCAGAGCAGTGTAAAAAGAAAGCTTATATAGAAAATACTTTGAAAGTAATGAAAACCCAGCCTGAATGCTGTTATCAAAGACTTTCTGTTAGGAGAGGAGTCTTGTACACGGACAGGTAGGAGTTTCTGCTTCTGTTGTTGCCACATTCTTTGTGTCTGTCAATGGTGGTAGGTCTTTAGGCAGCATGGAAGTACATATTTGATCAATTTTTTGTCCTTCATCACAGGAGCTGTATTTCAAGATATAATATGTTTTGGGTTTTTTTGATGGGACAGGGGATTGAATTCAGGACTTTGTGCTTGCAAAGCAGGTGTTCTACCACTTGAACAATGCCTCTAGTCCATTTTTCAATGGTTATTTTGGAGATGGAAATCTCAAAAACTATTTGCCTGGGATGACCTCTAACTATAATTCTCCTGATCTCTGTCTCCCAAATAACTAGGATTACAGGTATAAGCCACTAGTGTCCAATCTTAAGACATAATATCTTAATTTATTAGGCAACACATGTTACATACCTCCTAGTGTAGATAGATAAATGATGTCTATTAAAGGCTTTCCAGCACAGTGGGGAAAAAAAACCAGTGATCCTTGAAGTAGCATAGATTCTAGCCATAGTGTCAGGGAAGGTGTTTGCTCTTTCTAGTTCCCCACACTCAGAGACCAGTAGCAGTATGCCAGGATTACCTATATACTTTTTATTTATGAGTTGGTGTTATAGAACATGATGCCTATGCCTGTCTTTGAACTCCCAAGGTTTTCTGTAATAAGAGGGAAAAAAATCCAAACAAAACACCTTCTGCACACAGACAGTTGAAATACTAAGGATACCACTTCTTTGAGTAAGATACTAAACTCTTTACTCACAGACCTATTGGGTATATAGTTAAGAAAAGGACTTCAGTAATGACACCATGTGCTACTAGTTATAAATGTGTTTTCTGTTTTGTCTCACATACATTGGACATCTTTCACCCTTCAGTGAAGACCTTCCATTTCCATTTTCCCACCATTCACTACTTGGCATCTCATTTGCCTTTATACAGATAAAAATCACAGAAATGTGGAGGAGGGATTTTCCCCAGTGAACTTAATTATGAAAATGTATACATCTTCAGATGGCCAGAGAACTTTTTGAGCACTGAACCTACACAGGCTATTGCTCTTTCTTGTTTCTGCTTTAACTTTATCCAAAAGTCAAAAGAAGAATAGGGAAGAAAAAGAGGAACATTTTGGAAAATATGAAAAAGTCGCTGCAGTGAGTTAGCAGATGTCAAGTACATTACATTCCAAATATCTTGCTATGCTTTCTTTACCTCTATGTATCTCTCTCCCTTGAAATCACTTCAAGAAATCAATAGAGAGGTAGGCTGAGCATACCCAACTACATTCTCCCTATGAAGAGTACCACTAACTCACTCAGTGTTGTTATGTCTTTTACATAAAATGTTGATCATGTAGGTTGGCATCAATGCTAATAATAAAAATTAGGCTTTTACTTTCAAGCTGAATAGACCAGCTTTATGTTTATGACAGTATCTTAAACCCAAGAAAAAATAGTAAACTAAATTTTTAACTTTTTCCATTCATAACAAGATCCAGAAATAATGAATTGAGAGTTCCTGTTGTGACTGAATCAGTCATATTTGCTAATGTGTCTTTGGAAGATCTAGTTAATAGTGAGGATAATGTTTTGAGATGTAAGGGAATGAACACTTCAATGACTTATGCTGACAGTCAAATCCTCACATCTGACAACTTTAAGATGTGATAGCAAATGCCTGGAGTAGGTAGTTTTATGATTTCTCTCTTATAGTATATATGTGAATGTGTGTGAAGATGAATGAAAGTACGCAAGGTTCTATAAGATATGACAGCTCCCATAATATCTTATACCTCTATTTTAGCTTTAATAATTCTAGTTTGTTAACTATATACAAATCTGTCTTCCACCTCAGGAAAGTGATTGTATGAGAAAAGAGAACTCATCTTATTAATCTAGACATCCATACTATTTATATTGTAGTGGCTTTTTGTGTGCTAGCGAATCACTATATGTTGTTTAAACTAATTAATTAAACACAAAGGGAAAAACAGATACAACTAGCTTCTTCCACTCATCTATTTAATTTTTAAAACTGATACTGGACTGGAGGATATTTCTTCATTATGTACTCAAATGAGATCTCCCTTTGTAAAGACAGAACCTTTCCTAGTAAAAGGATCATATAGTGTTGGCCAAACTAGAATGTACTTCCTCTGTAGTAAAACATACCTGGAAAAAAAAGAGCTCAGAAATGATCTCACCAAACTTGCTTTTTTTTTTTTCCTTGCAATCATTTGTGGAATAGACTGAAGCATTGTTTTAACAGATGTGTCTACATAAGGAAATATGAAACCACAAGATAGGTAAGAAAATTGGGTCTCAGAGAGGTTAGGCAAGTGTTCAAGGTAAGAGGTAGAGTGTAGGTCTGAACTGAAGCTTTCTAAAACTCAAATAAATAATTAAAAAAAACCCAGTCTTACAAAAAATGTTTCAAAGTGGACTGCAAGCAAAGAGTATGTTACATTTTCTAACAAACAGCTCATTCCACAGGCGAGTGGAGCCCAGTGAGGAAGCTAGGGCCTGTCACAATACAAGTTCAAGGGTAAAGAGGTCTATGTCCTCTGTCTCCTGGTGAGGAGGTCATCATGAAGATCTAGTGTACACAGAGAAATACCCAGAAAGGAATGAGAACATGGAAGCCATGGGACTTTATCAAGACTAGAGCATGGATATGATTCCTATAAACTATCTCTGCCATGGACTTCATGGTAATTTCTTTTTTTGTTATTTCCAGACATCATCATGTGAAGGTTACTTTTAAAATAATGACAGCTACAGGTTTTCATTAAAACAAGTTTATAATGACTGAGGAACAAATTTTTTTCATTATAAACTGGTTTTGATGAATAGAAGAATCTCATGCCCAGTGAGTGTGATGGAACCACTAGACTTAAAGTTGTCTTCAATTCTGTTTAATTCTTGTTAATGATTAATGCCTTTGTAGTTTTTATAACTGAATAAATAACAGCCTCTTACTTTACAAATGTCTGTAAAAAGCCAACGCATGTCAAAATACCTATACAAGTATTTTTGGCTATAGCAGTAAATGGAAGCCATACTCTGGATCTTACTATATTTTATAGCATATCTTCTATGCTATAATATGCATGTATTATATGCATGCATTCATGCATGCATGTGTGTTGTGTGAGCACGTGTGTGTGTGTGTGTGTGTGTGTATGTGGCCAGGTGTTTGTGGTATGTGAGTAGAGAGTTAGATGCTGAGATAACAATGGGGGGGAGGTTATTGTAGTTATTGAAGTTACATGGTACCTAGGGGAGTGAGGGGAAAGAGATAGATTTTAGTCCTTGTGGAGGTAAAATTCTTAGGGATTGGCAACTTTGATTTTATAGAGAAGGAGACATTGTTGATGATAAGGCTGTGCTGAGTCACTGACAGAGTATGGGTACACTTAGTAGAAGGCTGTGAGACCACAGTGCATATTGAGGATGGTGGCAGAGAGCTAAGTGGAAATTAAATGCACTGCCTGAACCTGGTTCCTTTATTATAGTAGGATCTTCTGTTGACTGGGTAATAGTCAAGGAAGGAAAGGTCTACTTCTTTTTTCTTTTTCTTCTGACTTTTTAAGGCAGGATCTTGTTACATAGCTCAGAGCTCCAGATCCTCCTGCCTCAGCTTCCTGAGTGCTGGATTACAGGTTTGCAACATCACACCAGATTTGAAAGGTCTGAATTGTTCCATGTACTCAAATAATCCTTCCAATTCTGTTCTGTTACTGTGCCATTGTTGTTTAGATGAAGGTAGAATCCCTTAAAATGATTGAAAATTTATATATTTTGTGTTTATGACCATCCTCTTTCACTCCATTATATTTAAATTTAAAGCAATTGTTTTATAATGCAAATTTGACTGCAGTCTTTTTTCTTGTTGTCCTTATTGAGATTAAAATGAAAGATTCCTTTTTACATTATGACTCTGAAGAGTAACTAACTTAGGGAATGAACTTGTATTATTTTTTTCTGGTGTATGCTAACTTTGGATTCCGTTATAATTCTAGAATTCAGGAAGTAGAATCACAGTTACTGTTTCTCAAA